CGCATTGGTCTGCATGGCGTTGCATTCGATACGTCTGTGTGCGCCCTCGTGTGTACTACGGCCCTGTTCGGTCTGCGCCATTGTTACCTCTCCAGTTCATGCTCCTGCCATTGGTGGTTACGTGCACGCGTGCACATGTTAGCTTTGAGAGGATGGGGGCTGCTGGAACCTCAGCGCGCTCGAACTGCGCGTGTGGTGTTAGTTGGGGCCGAGGGTGCGAGCTTAGCGTGCACATGTTAGCTTTGAAAGGATGGGGGCTGCCGTTGTTTCTGTGGCCTCCTCGTCCTCCTCCGTCGGGACAGCCCATGTCTACTTAGCTGATCTCGGTGCCGACGCCCACTCCCTGACCACCCTCTTCCTCTGCAGCCTGGGGTGTCTCCTCGTCGTCGTCGTCGTCGTCGTCGTCGTCGTCGTCGTCGTTCTCGCCGTCGTGGTGCCATCACACTCGGCGGCAAGCAGAGGGGACAGATTGAAGAGAGCGGGGAGGACAGGGAGGAGGAGGAGGAGGTGAATGAACAGGGATCCACTTCAGGGAGACGGCATCGAGGAGAAGAAAGAGGAGGAGGAGGAGCAAGAGGATAGGATGATGGGGAGAGATAGAACGGAAATGAGGAGGAGGGGGAGGGGACTGGAGTAGACCGATGATGATGACGGCGACGACGCTGATGATGAGGATGACGAGCACAACGACGGCGCCGACGATGATGATGATGATGATGATGATGCTGATGCTGATGCTGACGATGATGATGCTGATGATGATGACGACGACGATGATAGTGAGGACAACGATGACGACGACGATGATGACGATGGTGCTGACGATGCTGACGATGATGGTGGTGATGATGATGGTTGTGCTGGTGATGGTAATGGTGAACACGACCATGACGATGACTACGATGGTGATGATTGCGATGATGACGATGGTGAGGATCCTGGCTAGAACTTGAGCGCGCGCGAAGCGCGCGCGATGGTTCTAGTATATATATATATATATATATATATATAGGTGTGTGTATGTATATATAAAGAGAAACAGACACGCGAGGCGCGGGACCCATAGCCAGGGAGCTCGCGCTTGAGACTTCTTTGCAATTCAGTCACGGACGACGCTCCCGATTGATATTTCCTCCATACCCAAGCCGCAGGAGCCCAACAGCGACGACGCTTACAGGATCCCGATGACCCGTTCGTTTTTTCTTTTTTGCGTTTTTTAATAAAAGATGTGGGGGCGATCGGCAGGGGGGTCCCCGCGTGAGAGTTCCTCGAAATTCACTCGCAGGCATGGCTCCCGCCTGAAACTTCCTCCATATTCAAGCCGCAAGAGCCCAAAAGCGACGACAGATACATGATCCCGATGACCCGCTCGGATCAAAAACATTAGTCGCGGGACCCCCTAGGGAGGGGGCTCCCGCCTGAGACTTCCTCACACTTAACTCGCAGACGAGGCTCCCTCTTGGCCGATGATCACGATGGGATGGTGCTAGTGATGATAGTGTGATGATAATGATGGTTATGGTGAGTGATGGTGAGTGGAAGTTGATGATGATGACGATGATGATGATGATGATGATGCTAATGATGGTGAGGTGGTGGAGAATGAAGTTGTGTGTGAGGGTGTGCTGATGGTTACGAATGAGTGCGCGTGTGTGCTGCTGATGATGGTGATGGTGGTGCTGATGATGATAATGATGATGCTGCTGTTGCTGCTGCTGCTGCTGCTGATGATGATGATGATGATGAGGATGATGATGATGATGATGATGATGAGGATGATGATGATGATGATGATGATGATGCTGATGATGATGATGATGATGATGATGATGATGAGTGTGATAACGATTGTGATGGCGATGGTGATTAGCTGGAAGAGAGGGGGGGAGGGTGGGAGGTTCCAGCGCGGAGGTGTGCAGAGGAAACAAGAACCCCACTTAGGATGCGGGGAAGTGGGGAAACCATTAGCCTGGCGAAGGACCCAGCCACATGCAGTTGTGAATACCGTTGTTGTTAGTATCGCCTTCGGTGGATCTCCGTATGGGGCCGCGAAGCGCGTGAAGAGTGTGCCGAGATGGGGCGGGGCCGCCGAGCGGGCGCTGCCACTGTGGCCTGATGCAGAGCCCGCCGTTTGGGGCCACAAGACGTGTGCGGGATGTGCCGAAGTGGGGCGGGGACGCCGTGCGGGCGCTGCCACTGGGGCCTCTGGTGAAGCTCCCTATGGGGCCACGAAGCGTGTGAGGGGCGAGCGGCGATGATGGCGATGATAATAACAATGCGCAGGGCCTCATGTGGAGCTCCCTATGGGGCCACGAAACGTGTGAGGGGTGTGCCAAAAATGGGACGGCGCCGCCATGCGGACTGCGCCACTGGGACCTTGGGTGGAGCTCCCTATGGGGCCACGAAACGTGTGAGGGGTGTGCCAAGATGGGGGGGGGCGGCGCCGCCATGCGGACTGCGCCACTGGGACCTTGGGTGGAGCTCCCTTTGGGGCCACGAAGCGTGTGAGGGGTGTTCCAAGATGGGGCGGTGCCGCCATGCGGACTGCGCCACTAGGGACTCAGGTGGAGCTCCCCATGGGGCCACGAAGCGTGTGAGAGGTGCGTGTGAGGGGTGTGCCAAGATGGGGCGGTGCCGCCATGCGGACTGCGCCACTTTGACCTTCGGTGGAGCTCCCTATGGTTCCACGAAACGTGTGAGGGGTGTTCCGAATTAGGGCGGTGCCGCCATGCGCACTGCGCCACAGGGGCCTCAGGCAGAGCTCTCTATGATGCCACGAAGCGACGGGTGTGCCAGAATGGGGCGTTGCCGCCATGCGGACTGCGTCACTAAGACCTTATGTGGAGCTCCGTATGGGGCCACAAGACGTGCGAGGGGTGTGCCAAGATGGGGCGGCGCCGCCATGCGGACTGCGCCATTGGGACCTTAGGTGGAGCTCCCTATGGGGCCACGAAATGTGTGAGAGGTGTTCCAAAATAGGGCGGCGCCGCCATGCGGACTGCGCCACTGGGACCTTCGGTGGAGCTCCCTATGGGGCCGTGAAGCGTGTGAGGGGTGTGCCAAGATGGGGCGGTGCCGCCATGCGGACTGCGCCACTGGGCTTGAGGTGGAGCTCCCTATGGGGCCACGGGAACGTGTGAGGGGTGTGCCTAAGTGGGGCGGCGCCGCCATGCGGACTGCGCCACTGGGACCTTGAGGTGGAGCTCCCTATGGGGCCACGAAGCGTGTGAGGGGTGTGACAAGATGGGACGGCGCCGCCATGCGGACTGCGCCACTGGGACCTTGGGTGGAGCTCCCTATGGGGCCACGAAGCGTGTGAGGGGTGTGCCAAGATGGGGCGGTGCCGCCATCCTGTGGGGCCACGAAGCGTGTGAGGGGTGCGACGAAGACGACCACGATGACAACGACGTCGACGCCGATGATGATGATCATCATGATGGTCATGATGATGATGATGATGATGATGATGATGATGCTGATGATGCTGATGCTGATGCTGATGCTGATGCTGATGCTGCTGATGATGATGATGATGATGATGAGGATGATGATGATGATGATGATGATGATGATGATGATGGAGGAGGTTACACGGGGCGGTGTCTCTTCAAAACGAGGACCCAACACCACAGGATGGTTGGGAAGTATGCGCGTGCGCCCGTTCGTCACACATGCGCAATTTGTCAGAACCCCTTGCAAGATATGGGGCGAAGCTTGCACGCGCGCGTCGTCGCGCGCGCATGCCGCGATCCATCCCGAGCCGGAGGTGTCGCACGGGTTAAAAAATCGAGTGCCCAGAAAGCAAATGACAATTTTAGCTTTGTTCGGAATTTTCATAAATGTATCCGCGCGCTCTTTCGAAATCTCAAGAAAACCAAATGTGCTTGTAACGTTTCCCTTACATTCCACTAAACGTGTTCCTCGCGCGCGGCTGCTGCAATCATTCGAACGCCCCTGCACGCGTGCTGAGGGGTGAGAGGCGCGACCCTTTTCAAATAATTCCCTGCGGCCCACTCGCGCCCGTCGGCCGCGCGCGCATCTCGAAATCCATTCACAACCGTCATCGCCCACGCGTGGACACCATTATCGTCGTCGGCGTGATCAGCATCGGCGCCGTCCTTCGCCTTGCCGTCGTCATCGTCCTCGTCGTCACCAGCATCGCTGCAGTTATCATCGTGCTTTCCTTTGTCGGCGTCGCCATGTCACCGCGCACGCCCTCGCCGACTGCCACTGAAGTGCCTGCGCCTCAGCGCGGCCTGAAAGACCCGCTGGGATGTTCCCAGCAGTCAGCGCCGCCGCGGCCGCGTCGGTCTCGCCAGACTAGCTGGCCACTCTGCGCGCGAGCCTGCGCGCGCTAGCACGGCCGCAGCTAATTACGCGCCAGCCAACGCCAAGCAATCAACGCAATCGCGGCCGCATGGGTTGCACACGCGATGATCGTTTGCCTGTTTTTGTTTCGTGCGCTTATATTCGTTACACTTCTTTTGTTCTGGTGACTCGATGTCTTGTTAAAGTTTTACTGTTTCGTTATTCTGCTCACTGCGTGCAATTACATGTTATTGTTTCACAGATAATGGAGGGGCATTGTTCGCACTCGATGTTTATTGGATGGGGAGTGGCTCGTCCCATCCCATCGTTCGTCTGAGAGTTGAGATGGGCGTCTATATTTGTAGTTCACATCGACATGTAGCGGTGCGGTGATCGTTTTGCCCCCCCCCACCAACACTGGATGGAGAAGTGCGCGCCACCTGGGCCAGACCCCTGAGAGGCCGTCCGCGCAATCGCCTCCGTTTACTTGGGAAGTCGCGTCCACCCTGTCATTGCCTTTGACTGGGGTCCGTATCCATTTTGGCTGAGAAGGACAGGTGGCTTGGCTCTCTTTCGTTTTCCAGCTGACAGGTGCGCCACACCGCCCCGTATTGCGCCGCGCCGCTGTGCCGCGCCAAAGGCGCCGACGGCGCCGCGCTTTGCCTCCCCCGTGCCGTCCAGATCAGTCTGCGATGGCGGCCCTCCCAGCCTGCGTGGTGCAGGGCGACTTTCTTGACGGAGTCGTGGAGTCGACTGTGCGCACCATGGTCAACCACCTCAAGGCAGAGTATCAGAGGGAGCTCTGCAGGGCCCTGGAGGCCGCCAGCCTGGAGACGGCCAGCGGGGCTGGCGCTGGTGGCATCGACGCCACGCAGGGCACGTTTCGGCCCTTTACCTTGAACGCGCCGGTGGCTGAGATAAGTGAAGGTCATCGCGGGCGGCATACAAGTGACCCTTCGCTGGAGTGACCTTTGGCGCGGGCCCACGAGGGTGCCCGGATCGTTGAATGCGATGCGATAGCATCGGCTAGCGCGCTGGGGTTTGGCGCCGCCGCGCGCCCCCAAAAGCCGCGCACCAAAACTAATTCTTACCTGCGGTCGCTCTTGCGTGTATCCGAGGTCAGCTGGACTCGTTTGGTGAGCTGCGGACGACGGCGGACGTTCCAGGGCCTCCCGTCAGGGCGAGCAGGAGCACAATCAAGCGTGTGCGGATGTCCAGGCCCTTCGTGGAGCCTGGTGCCGCGTGGAGGCAGAGCTGCACGAGCAACAGCATCAAGAGAACGGGGACGCAGCTTTCGACGGCGTGGGAGGCCGAGGATCAGAGGAGGAAAAGGTACTGATATCGCTACCCCTGCCTCGCTGTCGCCGTTTTTGGGCTTCTGGGAGGTCCTCGTCGCCACCGCTGGGTTCCCCTAGGAAATTCTAGTCAGAACGCACCCTGGGAGAGGTCCGGGGTGAAGTGGTGGCGGTACCTTCCAGTCTCCCCAGAGGATCTTTTCGACCGCCGCGAGACGATGCAGCGCAACGACAACTGTCAGGGCAGGCTGGCCCAGGCCGACACCGAGGCCATCAAGAGCATTCGAGAGGAGGAGATCGCGAGGGAGGAGGCGCTTCTCGCGAGGCTGGAGAAGAGTAAGACTTCGATGCTGTCAATGCCCGCCGCGGGCGAGGCCAGCCCGTGCAAGCTGTTCGCATACATGGTGCTTACGAGCTGGAGGTTTGATTTTGGCATGGGCTTCGTCATCATCTTGAACGCCTTGACGATAGGTGCGGAGACCTCCATCTCGCGGCGGGGGGACAATATTCCTACGTATCTTCAGATCGCCGACTTCACGTTCGTCGTTCTCTATTGCATCGAGCTGGCCATGTGGTTGTACGTTCTCGGTAAGCAGAAGGCGCTCTCGAACAATTGGTTGAAGCTCGATGCCGCGATGGTGGCCGCAGGCCTCCTGAATATCTTTCTCACGTTGTCACGATTCGGCGGCGACTCAGCGGCTGCTGTGGTGGACAAAGCTAACATGCTGAAGGTGATTCGCCTGTTCCGTCTTGCAAAGACCGTGCGGGTGATTGTCCAATTCCGCACTTTGTGGATGCTCGTCCAAGGGCTGATGTATGCTGTCATGCCGATGTTCTGGACGGCCATCCTCATGCTTGTTGTTTGTTACATGTTCGCTGTGATGGCAATGGAACTTATCGTTGTCTCGGGCGACAACGAGGACTACGACATTCCCGCGCGTAATTTTGACACCATCGGCGAGTCCATGATTACTCTGATACAGTTCATTACCCTGGACAGCGTGGCCGGAATCTACAGGCCGCTTGTCGCGACGAAGCCATGGCTGTTCATCTACTTCCTGATATTCCTCCTGCTTGGTCCCATTGCCCTGATGAACATTGTTACGGCGATCATGGTGGAATCGTCCCTTCGCACTGCCAGTGAAGATCAAGAGGCAAAGAAGGCGTGGGATAACATCAGAAGAAAGAATATGATGCCTAAGCTCAGAAGTTTATTCCTTGCCTTGGACATCAGCGGCGATGGAGAGGTGGACCTGAGCGAGATCTTCAATGCTCCATCTGAGATTCAGGAGGCCATGAAGCATATAGTCGGCCTGGACGAGCTCGAAGAGGTGTTCCGGCTGCTGGACTACGACGGGAGCGGCCTCATAGATATTGAAGAGTTCGTAGAAGGGATTATGCGCTCGCAGTCAGATAAGCCGTCGGAGCTCGCCGTGCTCGTGAAGCAGGGCCGGGCGATTCTGAATAGGCTCAAGGGCATCTCTGACCAGGTTGGCTCCGACGGCAACCCGCGAAGGTCTTCTACCAGGAATCGAGAATGTGAGTTTGGTCGAGGCTGCGATGACGTTTCTCCGCTGGGAGACTGATGTAATCGAGATTTCCACAGCCCTCGAGATCCAGCTGATCGAGGGTGTCTGTTTCAACGGGCAGCAGCTGTGATGCAGATGGCTCGTGTGCATCTGTGTTTGCGAGTGCTGCCAACACATAGTTTCGAATGCGCCTCTGCAAGTTTTCATGTTTCCCGCTCGCCGTGGAAGCCGTGGCACTCGGGAATGCTTATTGAATATGTGGCATGCGCATGAATAGCGCTGGATCCTCAGTGCTCATGTATGAATTTCACTCCAAGTCCTTGTTGTCATCCTTCCTACCCTCCTCTCCCTTCCTCCTCCTCCTCCTCCCTCGACGCCCTTTTGACCTGTCCTCCGAGCCTCCGTGCAGCTGATGTTTTCCGTCTTCTTCTACATCCTGGTTTTTAGATGTTCTTCGAACGCGGCCAAGGCACGGCTTCTAAAAACCGCCGATTGTAGAGTTTTGCCCGCGACGCGCAATGGGACGCTTTGTGCTAGCGAACCCAAGTGCCCAGTCTTCTTCCGAGCTGCCAATGCTGACTAAATCTTGCAACTCGTGCTGTTCTGTATGGTGCGTATTCAGCTTCGTTCCTGGGGTTATGATGTCCTCACCTACTCTAGCATTGACCACCAGGAAAAAATCGAGCACCAAGAAAGTACCGAAACCGGAGGGCTTTCACGTGCCGGGCCCTGGGAGGCGATACTCGTCCGACACTGTTTCGATACTTTTCAGGGTGCCCGAAATTATTTCGGGATGTGGTTCTTAAGTGCGACGGGGACAACATAATCCTGGGGAGGTGACTTTGTGGCGACATTCCTCCTCCGCCCCCTCGGCCGCTCGCCAGGGCAACAATTGTCACGGGTAGGTCCCTTTAGCGTCTGGCTGTCTAGGGGGGCAGGGTGTGTCCGTCCAGGCCAGAGCTTACGGCAAGCAGCAACAGACTCGCGGCAGCACCATTGCAGCCTCGCTGTTGTTCTCCGCCTCCTTCCCCCCAAAAATGGTACGTGGTCAGCCCCGTCGCGACAGGATAGAGGTGATTCGGCTTGTCCCCTTGGGCGAGCAGCGAACACTACGCACGTGGCATCCCTAGAGGCTGGACTTTACCTGATGGGATGTATTTTTCCACGCCGCAGCAGGCCGCTTACATACCTCATCGTGTCTGTCCTGACTCCGCACCTTCACTCCTCACCAAAGCGCTACGGGCTCAAAGAGCTGTTTGTCGGCGTGTCGGGTGGACCACGGTACATAGCTTCAGCCCTCCTTCTCCCTCTGTGGTGCCGCTGCGCCGATGCGGGCAACGACAAACAAAGGAATTTCCAGAGTGCCAGTGCAGAAGGCCGTATCTGGGCCAAGGACAACGGCATGACATTGTGGCGGCGGGGATGGTGAAGATGATGATGAAGAAGAAGAAGATGACGATGGTGGTGAGAACGATGACGATGACGATGACGATGATGATGACGATGATGATGATGATGATGATGGTGGTGGTGATGCTGATGTTGATGATATGGGTGATGATGGTGACGATGATGATGATGCTGATGGTGATGGTGATGGTGATGATAGTGGTGTTGATGACGATGACGATGACGATGACGATGACGATGATGAATTTGATGATGAGGAGGAGGAGGATAATGATGATGATTATGATGATGATTATGATGCTGATGATGATGATGCTGGTGATGATGGTGATGATGATGATGGTGCGGAGGAGGATGGTGGTAGTGATGGTGATGATGATGGTGGTGATACTGATGATGCTGATGATGATGCTGATGATGATGATGGTGAGGAGGAGGAGGATAATGGCTTTCAAAGGATGCCGCGTCTGGTTTCTCCGCAGCTCCGGGCAGAGAAAGGGAGGAGGAGAAAGAGGAGGTGGACGAGGACAAGCAGGAAGGGAAGGTGAAAGAGGAGGAGCAAGATGGGGAAGCATGGACGGAGGTGGAGGAGGGGGAGGATAATGAAGGAGTTTGACGAGGAGGAAGCGGAGGAGGAGGACGAAGAGAAGGAGGATCATCCATCGGAGCTGAAGGAGGATAAGGTGGAGGATAAGGAGGATGACAAGAAGGAGGAGTAGCAGGAGGAGGAGGAGGAGCTTCAGTATAATCCAGAGGAGGTGGCGGAGGAGAAAGCGGACGAGGTAGAGGAGGAGGAGGTCCATCTTAGACCCAAGACGCGCCAACGATGTCGCAATTCCCTTTCCACCATGCTTCCTCTTCATAGTAGGTCCCTAAAACCTAAAAGAATGTGTTTGTTTTCATTGCTTGAAGTGTCCCGTTGGAAGACAATCGTCTGATAATCCTTATTCGTGGCCAAACAGCACACCTCTTGGACTTCAGCGCAGCGAGTCAACTTTACTGTTGCGTCCTGGCGATCCTACATCCTGCCAGGGAACAGTTCCTGTGACTTCAACACCGCGAATCAACGTGTCCGTTGCGCCATGACAGTCCTAAATCGTGCCGCGGCGCCACTCCTGGGACGTCAGCCCTAAACATCTGCGAGCCTGGTTAAAATCCAGTGTGCGCGGCGCGAAGGCGAGAGCCTCGTTTTGAAACAGGGCAGTTCTCCACCCGCGTAACTCATGCAAACTGTTAAGACGAATGCACGCGGGGCTGTGATGAGAGCCGCATTTTGAAAACCACCCGACCTCCATCCGCGAATCTCTTGCCAATTTGTACGACAGATGCGCGCGGCGCTAAAACGATAACCACATTTGAAAAGTAACAGCCCTCTATCCGTGAAGCCCTTGCACACTTTAATAAGACGAATGTGCGTGACGCTAAAGCGATCGCCGCACTTCGAAAACGACCCGACCTCCATCCGTGAAGATCCAGCACATTCGTAATAATCCTGGCTAAGAGGATGGCCACGTTTTTACAAGAACCCAGGCTCCATCCGTGAAGTGTCGGTACACCTTTCACATGAATGTGTGTTGCGCTAAAACGAGAGCCACATTTTCAAAAACGGAACCGCCCTCTATCCGGGAAGACCTTACACACTTTAAGACGAATGTGCGTGACCCAAACGCGATCGCCGCATTTTGAAATGACCTGGCTTCCATCCGCAAACCTCAATCAGATTCTGAATCCTCTTGGATAAGAGGATCGCCACGTTTTGATAACGACCCGAATTTCATCCGTGAAGCTTTGGCAACCGTTTAAGACGAATACCCGTAGCGAGAACCACATTCTGAAAACCGCCTGCCCTCAATCCGTGAGGATCCTGTTGCATGTTTAAGCCGCTAAGGCGCTACGGCGAGAGCCGCATTTTGAGAACCGCCCGCTCTTCATGAGCGAAACTGCTGCAGATTCTAAGCTTCAAGATCATAGATGGCGAGGAAGTCTTAAGCGAAACGACCCGCCCGCCCTACAGACACATCTCCCGGCGCGGCAGGGAGGAGTTGTTAACAGAGGAGTTTTTCCTCCCTCGCTTTTTCCAAGCAAAACCAAGTCATGCCCTGCACACCGTGAGAGGCAGTACGGGAGTCAGCGCCCCCCCGCCGCATCGCACTGACAAGCCGTTGAATCCCCAGATATAGTTCAGGACGACGCGAGGTATCGCACTGGAGCGACTTGGTACAATGCCAGAAAACCTCGATATTGTAACAGGGCGCTCTCCGGTACGGCTCCGGAAAGATGTGGTACAATACTGAAAAATGGTATTGTACCAAACCCGTTTGGTATTATACCAAGTTCGAGTTTGTAGTGTGATGTTAAACATGCGGGCCCAGCCGAAGTGGACTTGGTACGATACAGGAAAAGCTTGGTATAATACCAAGTTCTTCCGGTATTGTACCAGAGCGTCGTTTTGTACGATACCTTGCGTCGTCTGGGACAGTGCTTAGGAGTTCTGTGGTTCGGCAGTGCAGAGTGTTGGGAGCGCGCTGCGAAACTAGGTAAGATCGGCGGGCATGCCGATCATTTTCTCACACCCGCGATCGCGGTCGCGTCCCCCGCGAGCAAGTTGATATTGGCCGGTTCCCGTTTGGAAGCGAGGGTGGTCAAAAGTGGGGTAGGTTGTGGCGCCTCCTATGTTACTTCTACAGAACAGGGATAGAGGGTAATGGAGTATGGAGAGGAGGAGGAGGAGGAGGAGGAGGAGGAGGAGGAGGAGGAGGAGGAGGAGGAGGAGGAGGAGGAGGACGAGGACGAGGACGAGGACGAGGACGAGGACGAGGAAGAGGAGGAGAGAACAGAGCAATCAGAGGAGGACTTGAGGTAATACGGCTTTGGGGCGACCCAGACATCCGGCAGCTTGTTTTTTCGAGACGTGCCCTCTCGATCGCTTCCGCAGGGACGGCCCCGGTGTCCTGCGAGGGCTCCCACTGGAGTCCGAAAACGGCACGCATTCTCCGCCCGTTGTTTTCCATGGCGGAAGCCGAAGCCGGCCCCTCGATCGAACTGGTAGAAACGGGGTCAATACAAACAGGGGTCAGCCAGCGCGCTGGATCTTGCAGGATCTTGCAAAGTCAGGCTTGCATTGACCTGGGCTGGCGCGCAGGATGCCGCAGGATCTTAGAGGATCTTGCAGGATCTTGCAAAGCCTGGCTGGCCCGGGTCTACACTGAGCCAGGTCAGTGCGTCCCCGACACGTAAGAGTGACCTGTCGTTTGAGTGACCCGTGGTGTGGGCACATTGGGGCCCCCAGAGGGTTGACCGGGATCCGATAGCAGCGGGTTGCGCGCTCGGTTGCGCGCTCGGTTTGGGCCCCTCGCGCCCCCCCTAAATCCGTTCACAGACGGTCACTCTTGCCTAGGGCCGCACATGCGTGTAACCGAGGGAGGCCCAGCGTGGTGAAGAACTCTCCGCCCCGACACTGTTCGAGCCGCCAGACGTCCAGGGAGGGGGGGCGGGGGCTCCAGGCCGAGCGGCTGCCCAGCGTGCTCGAGGCGGCTCGGGGGGTCGCTGCCGCACGTCCGTCGCCCGTCGGCCCAGCGGGGGTCGGGGGCGGCTGGGGGCCTTCCCGAAAACACCACGCCCAGGCAAAAGCCCAGACGCTTGGCATCGTTCGGGCGTGTGCTCTGTTTCCTCGGCGAGGACCATCGGGGGTAGCATTTTGGGACCAGCTTGCGAAACATGAAACGCACGAGACCGCATGAACATGGACGCCCGAACGATTGTGATAGATCCCCAGGCCGAAAAGTTGTTCCTCCTGGAGTAGGCATATGACAACGCCCATGGATTGAATGGAATCCGTGTCTGGGTGTGTAGCAGTTTCGTGGATCCTGTTCCGATGTAGCGGGGATCCAATTTCTCGCTTGTAGAGAACCAATGGATCCATGTATTTTCCTGTGCGAATTTCGTCATGATAATCAGTATACTGGACCCACAGGATATTTGATCCACGGGGCATTGCACGTGAGGCATCATGCCATCCACAGAGGTGTGGCTCTGCAGACCAATGCTGGGATTCTACTGGGGTAGGGTTTCCTTAGGGTGAAGAAAGGGGGGGAGGGAGGTGGCAAGGGGAGGGGAGAGGAGGAGAGAGGGGGGGACGGAGGTGGGAGGGGGATATAAGAGGACAGATGAGGGAGGATGGGGAAGGGGAGGGAGGAGGGACGAGGAGGAGGAGGAGGAAGGAGGGAGGCGGACGGAAGAGGCAGGAGAGGGGGAGAAGGCGGGAGGAGGGAGGGAGGACGAGGACGAGTAGGAAGAAGAGGAGGAGGAGGGAGGACGAGGAGGACGAAGATAAGCAAAGAGTCAAGGTCGGAAGTTCGAGCGCCACAGCGGGCCCAGCCACCTCCCCGAACCCTACCATAACATGTGGGTGCTCGAGCGCCACAGCGGGCCTGGCCATGACACACGCTCCTCCCATAACATACGGTTACTCGAACGCCAAAGTGGGCCCGGCGAACTCCCGCATCTCCTCCCGTAACATGTGGACTCCCCGATTCGAAACGAGCGCAACATACATCCGTTCACTTGAACGGCATGGCGCTTCCGACAGATCTGTGTCTCGAAAAGAAAATTGTTCGGCCCGCGAAAGTCGACGGAATTTCCGTCGTTCTTGGCCTTGTGGGGCCCTCGCCGGGCCCTGGGACCGTCAAGCAGCGACCCTCGAAGAAAAACTGACCCGGGGAAGGGGTTGGGATTTCCAGGGTCTCCGTACGGAGCAAAATCAGGACGTCGGGTGCGCGGGTTGGGACAGGGCCTCGGAGATACGGCCGTTAGCATGGGGGACCCGCCGATCCTGAGGGAAACGGGTCCTTGACCCTGAGGCCTTCCCCCAGCAAGAGAGAGAGAGAGAGAGAGAGCCCGAAAACGGCGAAAAGCCTCAGGACCCGCTTCCCTCAGGACGCGGCTCCCCCAGGGCGAGGTCAGGACCGTGTGCTTAGCGTGTCGCGCCGCCAGCTCTGGGCGCTGGGCACGTCCGAGGTCCTCGAGCGGCCGCGCCCGGAGCCTTCCCCAGCTCCCGCCCCACGAAGCAGAGCGGGACGCTATCGGCTTGCAAGGCATGGCCCATGGCCTGTCGCAGGGGCCGCCACGGCGACACGCCAAGCGGCACTTCCTGACCGGATCCCGGGCAGGGGCCCAGGATGGAGATCCCCATGGCCCCCCCGCGAGGGCCAGCAGGCTGCGATGATAGAGGTGCCGATGCCGCTCGCCCGCCCTCGTCTTCGCCGTTCTGGGCCTTTTGGGAGGCCCTCGTCGCCACAGCTGGATTCGCCACGAAACCCTCGTCAGATTGCACTGCTGGAAAGGTCCAGGAAGTAGCGGCGTGGGTATCTTGTCGTTCCCCATGTTAGGCTTCAGCATCTGAGCAGATCAGTTCTCACCTGAAGAGCTCAACCAGCTTTGGTAATCGTCATGATCTGAACCTCGAGGGTCGCCCGGGCAGGCGCAGAATGGGGTCGCTCTGGAGCTGGAACTGCCGCGGCGCCCGATCGCTTCCTCGAGATCCGCTGGCTCCCTGAGCTTCCCGGTTTTGTCTTCAGCCTGCCGTCGTCTCGGCATGGGCATGTGGCGGGGAGGGATCTCCCGTCCGTCCCATTCCCAGGGAGTCGTTTTTTGCGCGAACGCGCCCGCATAACATTGGCACCGGCGGAGATTGAACTGCTTCGCGCCGGGTTTTGCCATCCCTCTTCTCTTTTCCGGACCTCTGCCTCATTCTGGCTGCCTCTTGCTCATCCTCTCCCCCGTCGCGGCGGGGGTTGCAGAGAGTGTGGGGGTCCGCGGGGAGCTTCTGGATTTTTTGGGAGCGGGAGTTGCAAAGCGCAGCCCACGGCCAGGTTTCCAGCTAATCGCCCGCGAAAGGAGTTCTCATTGCAAATGGTCCCGCGTGTTTTTTGACACGGCTACGCACACCGATGGCATTTCGGCGGCAAGATTTGTGCCGCCCACCACCGGGCTTTTCATGCTTTGCAGATTTGCTTGGCCGCGTGGCAAAGTGCCACTCTTGAGCGTGTGCGGTTCGTCCAAAGCTTGTCCAACCAGAAAGTTTAGATTGGTTGCCAAAAAGCTGCGTTGCCAATTCAAGACATACCCAGCTCAACGTTCTCGTCGAGACCTGGCAGAGAGGATTGGAATTTGATTCCGAAGGGGATACACCTGTCTATGACATGTTTGGTCGTTACGGGCAAGGTCCGCACGGTCGCTCCAGACACCGAGTCTTCTTCAAGTCTCGTTGGTTCCCCGTGGTCCGCTTCCAAGTGCTAGCCGCATCTGCGAAAATTCGTTGCTCGTCGTCGGCTGGTCCACATGAGTCATCTGGTCTAGTCTCAATTTCCTCGTCATCTCCCCTACTCCATGTGCTGCTCTCTGGGGAGGGATTCCGCGGGGGACCCAGCAGGGTCGGGTCGGACGACCGAGGAGAACTGGGCGAGGGGGGGTCGACAGCTTCGGCATGCAGCCGGCTCTGGCCCCGCCGCCGTATGGTTTCCTCGATGCACGAGCGACGCAGAACAACGGTCTCGACTGCGCGGGCATCCGCGCTCAAGCTGCCCGCGTAGGGACGCACGCAGGCGCCCTCGTTTCCAATGCAGCGTGATCTGCGCCCGCCGGCGGCGTCCCGCGGAGGTCACCGCGCAAGGTCGCTATGTCGTCTCTCGCGAGGTCCTTTTCTCGTCGTCGCTCACATGGCCGCCTCGGGCGCCAGGATGTGCCGGGAAAGTCGGGCGTGGCGTAGATGGGGGGGGGGCTATAAATGGGGAGGGCACGAAACGTGCACCTTTTGTGCCCGAAAGGGGCCCTGAAGGCGGCCCCTGGGGCCCCAAAGGGGCACGAAAGATGTACGTTTCTTCCTCCCCCCTCCATTCATCGCCCCCCAGCAAGCAACGCTCAAGAAAGCCACTGGCATGCAGCGGATTTGCACTCCCTTGCTTTGCTATCCCGCCCCTGTTACGCCGGCCTGGGAGGCCACCTGCGTCCAGAGGGTTTCCGACCCGGCCCCTGGGGCCGGCTTATCACTCCGAGCTGCTCTTCGGCGGCGCCGAAGCTGTTACGCTTCAGGAGTGAGACGGACGCACACGCACATGAGTCCGTACGCATTGCGCGAACGTTCGTATCATGAGGCTGGTCTCGCGGAGTGGGGGGCCGTATCAATGTACGTGGTTGTGCGCGTACGTTTTTTGTGTATGTGTTTGAATGTGTGTGTGTGTGTGTTTGTGTGTGTGCGTGTGTGTGTGTGTGCGTAGGTGTTTATGTGTGCGTATGTGTGAGTGTGTGTGTGTGCGTTTGTGTTGTCTGTGTGTATTTGTGTGTGTTCTCTAATTTTGCATCCTCGGGATAACTCTCCTGTCCTGTAAGCGGCAGTCTTTTCTAGTGCTCTGGCGCGGGGGTCGACATATTCGATTTGCATTCGACGTGGATGCGTCTCGGACTCAACATGGACTCGACGCGTTCGACACAGATCCGACGTGGATGCGACACGGATGGTTGGCGCAATGGGACAGATGAGGTCCCCCAAATATGCAATTCAAGGACCGGCAAGGGCCCCAAGGTGCCAAAAGTAATGACAAATTTCCGCCCCGATGATTTCAAGGCTTCCGCCCAGACTAGACTGTTCAAGGCGGAGCCCCGAAAGGACCCGGGGCCCCAGGGGATCGTAATTACAGCCCCTGCCGGCAATCAGAGCGGATTGCCCCCAGCCGGGTGTCATCTCGAGCTGCGGAAGGTCGAGGAGAGCATGCCCCAGGGGCCTTTCAACATATCTGCGGTCGACGCAGATCCAACGTTTTGAAAACAACACGACGTAGGGTTTTCCTCGTTCTCTGCTTGTTGGGGCACTTACGGGACCCAGGGACCATCAAAGAACGAGTGACGATGACAAACAGGCTCTGGTGAAAAGGCCAGAAGTGTAAGCAACCAAGACATCGCATGTCTGGGTCCCCGAGATGCCCTCCCGAGCTCGCTCCGCCCCGGGTTCTCGAAGGCTCTCAGCGCGTTCGGCTTTCCGCGTTCCCGGGAGGACCCCAAAACTTAGGAGGCGGCCCAGCAGGCTCCCAAGAGAGCCCAAGATGCTTCGAGGATGGCCACTGGAGGGCCCCACGAGCTCCCCCGAAGGGCGCCTGGAGAGGCACACATCGAGAGGGCGGATCAGAACTAGAACAAGTCAAGTGGAACAGCAAATCGCTGGCCTCCTTTGTAGCGGTGACGCTGAAATAACGGTCCTCCTGGGCTTCAGTCTAGGTCGGGGGGCCGATTCGTGCTGCGGCTCGTCGTGGACAGGGAAGCTCTTCGTTCCTGAGTCAGCTCTCCCCGTTATGGTGGAGCGACCTCCCCTCTGCCGTGCATCTTCCCGCCGACCGTGGCGGCGGTGGGCCCGTAAGTGAGAAAGTCGCTGAATTTGACTTGCCCGCGTTCTCATTCTGCTGCGCTTGTTCTCTCTCTCTCTCTATGTTTGCTTGTTCTGTAGTTTTTCCCTATCTCTGTGTCCGCTTCTCTGCATCTC